AACTTAACTAACAGAAAATAATAAAAATATGCATGAGTGCTCACGGGTTTCGAACTTTCAGGTGTTTTGATGGTACGATTTGAACAGTTCGATTGGAGGAACACTGACAATTCAAGATGGAAGAGAATTTCATACAAAGTACACTAATTAAAAAAGAGTGATGAGGGCAACCTAGGTGACCCTTCTGGGTTTTGAACTTCAGTGAAAGTCCCGTGATACGATTGTTTCAAGCTAAAATGAATACATAACAGTCAGGGCACTTGAGTTGATGCAGTATGTGTTAATATCATAATTAGGTCCCCGCAAATGGACGATGATGAGTAGAACCTTAATATTTGCAAACGTTCAGAGTTTGCCTTGTTATACAGAACTTTTACAATTTTTTTACCAGCCTTTGCGGACATTCTAGAACCTTCTTGTCGCGGTTCAACTATGGATTCCGTACTTGAATAGCGTATTACCTGTGTGGCTGGTAAAAAAATTGTAAAAGTTCTGTAAACAGTGCTATTTCGGAATGCCCGAAAGCACGATTAAGTGGTCCAACCTGCTTCAGTCATAGATGACGCTCTGGTACAGTGTGTAGAACATCCTACATCCTCTCCCGAAACTCCCAAATCCTATCCAACAGTGGTATATATATATATAAAGATAAACGCTTTATAAATGACTTGAAAAAATTGCAAAGTAAGCGGAGAGGTATCACAATTTTGAATTCAAACTATTATTGCTAAAAGGAAACGCTGAGGTTACACTTAAGGATACTGAAGTATTACACACTAGGCCTTGCTGGAAATAAGAGGAGTTGATATGTTAAACCACAACAATTGACAGCAGTAACTTGTTCGAAATCTATAGTGACCAGGTTACATACCGAATCCGAACGATTCAACGCGCGCCAACAGTGCAGTGCAAGGTAGTTCCAATTCGATGAGTATTTTAGGTATATTGAGATCGAGTGACTGTCCTAGGGTAGTCCACTGGGACAGCAAGAAGCAGTATATTGTAGTCTGATTTGCATGAAGCGGCAAAGCCGAAGACAATCCGGGTTTCAGTGTGTGGGTCGGCGGGCATAAACTGCTTGATATATCATTTTCAATCTGGGGTAATTGAACGTGCCAATCACAGAATTGTGTTGGTGGTTCTGGTGGAAGAGAGAAAATGAGGTGTGGGGCAATAAACGGCTATGCGAAAATTGAAAACCCGATCCCGCTTGATTCAGATACACTTCGATTATTGAAATAGATTGGTACAGTCCAAACATTTACACTATATTCCATTGAAACAAATGACGGTGTTCTAGGACTGACAACCCCATAGCAACCATCTTGGACGATGAACATCCACGCCACAGGTCAAATAAATACGAATAGGTACGAAAAACAATCGAAAAATAGCAAAACAGAGTTGTTCGGTGTTTGGAACACCAGAAGTTACTCATCAAGGATCGTCAGCAGAACCTGAAAAACTGGTTACTGTCGTGGTGGAATGACTTCGGGACCATGGGTTAATCGACAATACCCAAAAACCTGTCGCCTTTCTTGTAAATCGGGATGATCACCGACTCACCATTCCGCTGGAACCTCATCTGTCTCCCACACCGTCTGCAGCAGGCACATGCACAGTCGCAGCAAAAAGATTCCGAAAATAATTTTGCTGATGGAAGGTACCTTATACAATTTTAGGCATGCCATGGACAAAAATAGCCAGGAACAATCGACGTTGGCATTATAAGGATGTGGTGGATATTACAAACATTAAATCAAGGAACATTTCACTTTTTAAAAAGATCCTTGTGCCACGGTTTGTTTGGCACACAATCTAGCTTCAGACGTGTGTGAAAGTTTAATAAAATATATATAAACACCAAATGACTCTCGTGAAAGTCAATAACTTTATTGACAACGTATTGGACAACGATGTAAATGCTCGACCGCGACTTACACGACAGATCGTAATGTTACATTGCCTAAGGACTCGTATATCCTATTGGAACACTGACCAGCGATTACAAACGTAAGGCTTGAACTGCGTTTGCCTGTTGATTTATTATAACCCATTTCACATACGTCCGAGATCCGACTACTTGTCAAACAAATCACGGTATAATAATCCTTATAAAAAGAAATCAGTCAATGATTTGCTCGTTAGATGAAAAATAGCCAAATTAGATGACCTTTCTTGGGAGATTGACAAGCGGGGTCTCCAGTCTGACAGGCAAGTCAGTGGGGCGGTTTTTGAAAACAGCGAGTAATACTTAAAGGGGATCGAAGAAAAATAAATGAAAAGAAATCACATCGATTTCAACGTTATTCTTGTACTTATTTCTTTAGTCTTACCACTCTATTCGTTGATTGATCAGATGGATACCGAGAGGACGACAAATAAAAACGGAGTAAGAGTGCGCAATAGAATCTACCGACTGAGCTAAATCTAGCGCAGCGCAATGGAATAAAATAGGCATAATACTCCGAACACTAACATATGCATCACAAGGTACTCCACACTAAATCCACAATAGTCTCGTTTTCACAAACAGATGAAACGTGACAGAATGTCAGATCGAACCCCTATTGTGTGTACGTCTGAATTGCTTAATGCAAATGTGCCGAGCGAAATGGATCATTGAAAATGGCGCCAAAAACCGATATTGCACGTGATACCACCTAACCGCACACACGATTTATATTTTCGATGCAAACGCGAATGGGGAACATTTCAACGGTTAGTAGCTTTGACTGACACTGACTGTGAACTTCAAACAACGAATAAACTGCAAAACTGACATAATTGTGTGAAGTGCTGCAAACAGACGGACTATCACATGGTCTGGTCCTCTTCCTTCGTATAAAAGGTGACAATATGGTGCAGAGGCTGCCGTCCTTCACACTAAGGATAACGATTCCGAGGAATACTTTGAACCATTCGAAAAAAGCCAAAACAGATGGAACCCCGTGACCCGATCGTGGATTTCGGGGGTGGGTGTCTAGGGTTGTGGCTGGTCACCCTTCCCATTGGTCCTCGCGAAATGCTCCCAA